TTTTTTTTTTTTTTTTTTTTTTTTTTTTTCTTTCTGTTTTTGTTTTTGTTTTTTTTGAGACAGGGTCTTACTATGTATCCCAGTCTGGTCTTGAACTCACTGTGGAGCCCAGGCTGGCCCCAGACTCCCAGTAGTCTTCTTGCCTCAGCCTCCCCAGTGCTGGGATTACAGACACGTGCCACATACCCAGCAGTAGCAAAGATTTAAATATTTCATGAAAATGTTATGTTCCATTGAGAAGTCAGTATTTTCAGTAAAGGGTCAGAAAGTTAGTAATTTAGGCTTTATTGGGCATAGAATCTGTCATAACTACCCAGATCTCATGATGGAATCAGCCTTGGATAATATATACATGAACGTGACCATGTTTTATTACAATTAATTCACAAAAAGAGTAGGCTGGATTTGACCCATCAGCCATAGTATACTGACCATTGCTTGAGTTAACCTCAAGGGTCTTCTCTTTGAGTGGGATTTTAATTACAGAACACTAGTTTGATGGTTTGTGATGTACACTATCTGTATAAATGGATTACAAAGTATAAAAATAAATTGCATGTGTATAAAATTGCCAGTGTAGATGTGTTTGTATAAGAATAAGAATATGTATAAATAAAATAATAGTAAATTATGCTAAAAGTAAGAATTTATGCAGGGATACAAATGAGATAAAACAAATGCAGAAGTTATGTCCAAGTTAGGTAGAAAATAAATTCTAGTTTTTTTAGTCATTTGAAATAGATATTTTTAAAAAGTAACGCGTTCTTGGGATGGGAGAGAATGGAACTGAGGTAAAAGCATATATTAGCCATACAGCTGATTTTTTTAAAAAAAGATTCCATTTTACCATTGACATTTGTTTACTTAAGTTGGGATATACCCATTTGGGGTGTTGCATTTTTACCTTAACTCATTAGGATCCTTATTCTGAGCAGAGTATCTTGACTTCCTTGGGGAACCTATCTGGCAACTTGCTGGGGGACAGGGATGAAGTTTTTCGAGGTACTGTTGGTTGCTAATTAGGAGTAGCATTAGCAGAAAATTTTCCTCCAATGCAGAGTTGAGATGGCTTATTTTGATGTTCATTGATTTATGTGTGCTTCCTTTAAGAACTGGACAATTTAGAAGTAACTAGTATCTTGGAAGAGGTGTTTGATGAAGCCTTCATAGAATCACTTTTTGACAAGTTCTCCAAAAGAAGTTGTGCTAATCAGTGCCCCAAATTTAAGAATATTTTTTATTTAAAAAGAACATTTACAACAACATGAAAAGTAAATAGTCTAGAGAAAAATGTTCATGTGCAAGAATTTTGACAGTCATGATTAGGGAGAAGCTACGGATGTACTAAATTTAAATATTTAGTGAAGACATTTTTATTGTGTTACAAGAATTCTACCATAATAATATAGAGTGTTTCAACCTAAAGTGAAGGTTATGGTCAAGTTGCAACTTTTGAAATTCTTTTTTCAAGTAAGGAGTGAAACATGTCTGCTATCATCAGTGTTATAAGTTATTGCAGATGTAAAAGTGCAGGGAAAGAAAATGAAAGTTAAATTTAGGGGAGAGAGTAAAATATTTGTGGGTGCTTGCTTCCAATCTCTTGACATCCAAAGACATACACTGAAAATTAGATTTCTCAGTTAACAGTAATCAAGTGGCAAACAAAAACCCTGTTAATAACAAAAGGTACAAAATAATCTTAAGAATTGTATGAACCTGCCAAAGGAAAAATCATAAGAACCTAACTGGGAGCTAGACAGTACTTCTGGCTGGAATGTTACTCACTTGGCAGATTGCCTTTTTTACAGCTTTGTCCTCCTGCTACTCCTTCCTCAACAGCTGTTCCACTGGGTGGGGCATTCAATAAAGAGCCAATTTCCCATCAGCCTCTCCCAACCTTCTTTATAGTTCAGAAGATAGAGGTTCTTTTCAGGAGAGGGTTGGAGTAGGCTTCAAAGGCCTGTAATAATAGGTTTCCAGAGGGAGAGGGCATGGCTAATAGGTAGTATAGATACGTAGGAAAGGCAAGTTGGCTTATATATTTATAAAGGCTGAGAAGCTTCATAATAGGTGGTGTTCAAGCTTGAGCCCCAAGGATGCTAGAAGCATTCCTTAGTCCAAATCCAAAAACCTTGGAAACAGCAAAGCCAGTGATGTATTTCTTTAGTCAAAGGCCCATAGATCCAGGGTCTGGAGGCATTCTAGGGCCAGAAACACTAAAGTTCTAATATTTGGAGGCAAGAGATGTGCCCTGGTTCCAAAGAGGAGAGGGAGAATAACCTCCACATTCAGTGTGCAGATGCACACCTAGCTCCAGAAATACTTTGGATGACAGCATCCATTAGTTATATGTTACCAGCTTTCAAGGTACTCTTTAAATTCAGTCAAGTTGATGCCTAAAAATAGCCATCACAGTGCCTCACTTTATTTGGGATAGACTGGCACATTTAATGACCCAGAGTATTGCTGAAAACAGAGAAATCAGTATTTAGTGGCGGCTAACACTTCTTGACCATATGAATGGATATCAGGTAGAAGCTTAAAGATAGGATCTGGAAAAGAGCCTCAAGTTAGGCCACAGATAAACACGTATTATTTGTTATTCTGGCCTCTCTGGTTTCTGATATGCAGTCAATCAGCTGAGAATTTTTTTGAGGCCCTTTTGTATATAATGATTCACTTCACTTGTGGTTTTGCAAAGGCTCTTTTTTCCCTTATCTTTCAAAAGTTTGATTATGAGGTGTCTCTGAGTGTGTATCTTTTGAGTATATCCTGCTTGGAGACTCTGGAGCTTCGTAAAATGGTAAATTGTTTTTCATCAAATTTGGAAAATCTTCAGCCATTATTTTTTCAAATATTTTTTTGATACTTTTCTGCCCTGTTCTTCTGAAACTCAAACATTATGTGTTTTTTTTTTATTTTGTCCTACAGGTCTTTTAGGCTTTCTTTTTCTTTCTATTTTGCAGTCTTCATAATGTCACTTAAATTATCTTTAAGTTCACATATTATTCTAACTGTTCAAATTTGCTGCTGAGCAAATGAATATGAATATA